CACCCACCTGCATAATAATGAACAGCAGCACAAAAGCACCAATACTGTTCATCATGCCCCCATAGTAGGACACCAGGGCCTCACGGCAGCCCCTGGTCCAGATGTTTAGGTCCTCAGTGTGGTGGTCGTAGCTGTAGTGAGCGGAGTTGTTGGTCAGGTGATGTTGGATACAAGGGCGAGGAGAGCCAGGGTTGCAACAGCTGAAGGGAACGCTTTCCATCAAGTATTTGCCTTCCACGTTGCTCTGGACACGACTAAGAAATTGCAAAGATTGAACTGTCAGACAGATATTTTAATTATAATGACTGGGGCATATTCTTGGTTGTGGCAATTAAGATTTCAGAAATGGTAGTCTTAGAAACATAACTCAACAAATTTGTATATCCATATTAACTTTGAGACTCAACTTTGAGAGCTGAGGACTCCATTCTGATAATAAGAAGGTCACCTCTTTTAAATTAGATGGGCGGTAAACATTGAGGCCAACTCCATGGAAGGTAATAGATTGCACAATGTTATGGTTGGTGTGGAAGGTAAGCTTTAAAGGACTTGGGAATAGGATCCTGACAGGTTATCTAATCCATGGACCCATGTGCCCCCTTTAACCCATTCCCTCTTTATAAAACCCACCAGCCAATTATTTACTTAGGAATCTCTCAAAACAAACTCTGAAATTTGATTCCACTTGCATTCAACAACAGTTTTCAGGGGGTCTGCTTTGAGACTTTGAAAACATCGTTTCATTAGAACATTTGTGTTATTTTATTTCTTGGTTATCATCAAATGATTGCATAATAAAGTGTCTTTTGGGCTACACTTCCTGAAGAGCAGAGTAAAATATGCATCAACTGATCTCTATCCGTTTAGGTGCTTTACTTTCTTAAACAAGCTTAAACTTCCTCAAAACCCAGTGAATATCAGGCTTCATTACTTCATCCTAATAATGTTCAATGACTGATACCTTTTGAATTTGACTACATCTATGGTAACAGTTAATATTTTACACATTTTGCTATGATAATGAATCAATTCAATTCAATTTCAATTTCCAACAGCCAACAGATGTATATAAAAATGTATATACATTATCCAGAATCTCTTCCACTTAGATCCCACCTCTTATACACATTTCCACTAGTACTCAGTACTAAAGTCAGTACTCACACTTTAACCTCATCATTTCTAAAGTCCAGGTAGCGGTTGCTTATCCACTGGATCTCAAACCAGTCCTTGTAGTTGTTGTTGCCACAGCAGCGGAACTCAATCTGGGTCATATCTAGGGTTCTCTTCATGAAGCATCGTCCTGGCGTGTCTGTATCTTTGTAGTACTTCATTCCATTCTTCAGGCCTTCAGCCAGGGCGAAATGCAGAGAGATCTGCATCAAGAAACACAGCAGAGCCGTGACAAAAAGGGCGATGCAGAAAACCACACATCCACTCATGTAGGTCTTCAACATTGGTTTCCACTTGGTGAACTTGATTGCGTCAAGGGAGTCATGGCACACTTTTCCCCCAAAAGCGTTGATAACACAGGCCACAAGTCCCACCAGAATGAGCAGGTTGGGCACAAAATGGCTCTCGTTGTTATCCATCATCTCGCTTCTTTTGCGCAGCTCGATCTTGAAGAAAATCCCCATGCTGAAGATGAGGATCCCAGCCATGACAGAGAGCCAGTACAGGAACCATAGTCCTTGGGCCAGCTTGACCCGCTTGGCCAAGTCAAATTTTATAGGCATCAAAGCCATGTTTTTGTTCTCGGTGATTAATGAGTCAAAACAATATATTCAGAGTTATTCTTCTTTAGTATGATTAATTAGTTTCAAAGGTACGATTCAAGTTGTCCTGCGATTCAACTTGTCTTTCCCTTGTTGAAATTCTTGAAGACCATAAACAGAAGCGTTGTAGTCCAGAAGCTTAGTTTAGTAATCCGTCATCAAGCGTGGAACGTGCAGTAGCAAGAATTCCCCTTTCCATATCCATTCTGACCACCAACAATTCAAGAAAGTCCATACTGTTGGCAACCAGAGGCCTTTTCCTCTGGGATTTCACATAAATCCACCCAAATGGACCAGCTGGAGGGCTATGTGGCTTTTCCTGATTGTTCCCTTCCCTGCAAAAGAGGGTGGCCGGCTAAGGAGCTGTGTGATTGTAGAATCAAGTTCCTCTACGTCATCCTAAAACCCACTAATCAGCGCTGATCCCATTTGCAGATGAGCTGAGGACTCTAATCCTTTATCTTACTTTGTAATTGGTTAGTTACTTTAGCATCAGTTTCCTCTTTTACTTGCTGGTATTGCCTGGCTCTGGGGTATCTCTGGGTAGTATTCAGACCGAACCATTGTTGTCTTATTTCACAAGAATTGGAAGTTACATCATGCGTTAGTGGTCTGCATATATTATATTAGTATGCACAATTCACAAATAACACATTTAGACATGTCTACAAGGGTAATTTCTGCCACTTTATTTTAGAAGAACTTTTAATAACTTATATAACTTGTATAATAATCATACATTTTATCATCAAATACGCAATTTTTTAAAAATCCACTTTGCTGAAATACTACAGGGGGCACATTTAATGGGCATGATACTGTACTTCTGCTAAATGTAAGCTAACCAAATCTATTGCAAGGGTAGTAGAGATCAGGGTAGAAGATTGTATCAAAGAATTTACCTGGCCCTCAGACAGGCCAGGTAAACCTGACTGATCCTAATGTTTATCCTAACTCCACACAAAGTTGTAAAGATTTTTATCGCCCAGAATTGTAATTGAACAATCCTTATCCTTGGTCAAGCCTCTTGTAGAAACTTTAAAGCTATGGACACAAGCATTCCTTCTTCCCTTAGAGGTGATTTTTACATGATGAACGATGATCAAGCCAAATTATTGATGTCAGTAGTTTGCTAATTTTTATTCCTCACCAATTCATGGGAAGACAGGAGCTTCCAGTTGTAAAACCCATCCAGACAGACTTTTCCCCCAAGTCAATCTGATGTACTTTATCAAAGAGCAATCAGCTCATTTGACAGTTGCCGTGAAGAGGAAATCAATGTTCTGTGCTTGTAACTAACCCTATTTGTAGCAATTCTGGCTCAGCGGCAGTAAGTGACGATTAAGACTTTTGGTGGATTGACCCCAAGTCTCTTGTAGGGTCTCTTGTAAGAGCAGTTGACCTGACTTTAGGCTAAGAGCTAATTTGTTGAGTTGTAGAGTTGCCTTGCAGCTGTGTCTATAAGAGAACCCAAAGGGTGTGCATCACCACTGTAATTAGTGTGCATTGGTCACATGTGACAAGATTAGAAGTACTGATAGTATTTGAGTGACTTACTGTCCGATCCATTTAGAGGGACACGTAGGCACTGGATGAATAGCACGCGATGATTCTTCCTCAGCAACTGAAATGTTGGAGTAGCTTGTTACATTGAGGCTAAAGTGTGCATGTGTATTCCTGTTTGTAGGTGAGCTGGGGAGACTCTTTTGGTTGGCTGTTGTTAATCTGAGGCATTCTGAACTCAGCATATATGCCAATGAACAGCATAAACTGTTTTCCTTTTTGTGATGACCTCTTGTATAGTGGGCAAATTCCAATCGGAAGTGAGCATCCTTATGCCCTACTCACTCTGAAAGGCAGAACCCATGAAGTGGGCACCTTGGAGGAAGCAGGGCACTTGCGTGTCAATGTAGCCATTTGGATCGCACTTGGCAAAGGGAGCAATGAAAGACAACATAATTCCCTCATTATCTTCACCTGAAATGTTACCATGACAATGCAATGTGGCATCCATCACCACATGAGCTGTTCTAACAATGGGAATTCCTTATTATTACTGTTAAAGGGATAATTCACCCAAAAATGAAAATTCTGTCATTAATTTCTCACCCTCATGTCGTCCCAAACCCGTAAAATCTTTGTTTATCTTCGGAACACAAATAAAGATATTTTTGATTAAATCCGAGAGCTTTCTGACCCTCCAGAGACAGCAATGCAACTGCCACGTTCAAGACCCAGAAACGTAGCAAGGACATTGTCAAAATAGTCCATGTGACATCAGTGGATAAACCTTAATTTTATGAAGCTACGAGAATACTTTTTGTGTGCAAAGAAAACAAAAATAACGAATTCATTCGCGCATGTGTCGTGGTACTCTTGTGAATGCGCATCGAAGACTGACACGGAAGAGAAGAATTGTTGAATAAAGTTATTTTAATGATATCCTTACCACCTTTCTTGGCCTTGAATGTGGTAGTTGCACTGCTGTCTATGCAGGGTCAGAAAGATCTCGGATTTCATCAAAAATATCTTAACTTGTGTTCCAAAGATGAACAAAGGTCTTAAGCCCCGTTCACACTGCCAGCGACACACAGCGACAAAGCGACATGCTCCCATTCATTTTCAATGGAGAGCTGGCGACTTCCGGCGACACGAGCGACAGTGACCGTTGGCGACAGAATGTGGGCGTGTCAAGCGTTGCGAGTCAAACGACAAAAGTTAAGAAATGTTTAACTTTTTGCAAATGAACAGCGAATTTCGCGAGCAACAACCAATAAGAGTGAAGAATCTGTCAGTGGCGCTCACACGTCACTGTCTCGAGTGCAGGCAAGACAGGATAGATTTTCTGAGCGATTTCACTGTTTTGTATGATTTTACTGTAACCACATACATGGATATATAAAAAATGATGCGTAGAAAAGAAACCGTTGGCTGTCTAAGTGAGTTTGATTCATACATTGATGGTTCGAGTTGTTAATTACATGATGCAGTGAGCAGTTTAGCACCGGTTAATGATTTAAAGCACGAGCACTGCTGTAGTTTACATAACACTCTCCAACAGCAGAATGGTACTTTTATTTCTTTTAAGTCTAATTCCTAGTCATAATAGAATGATATCTTAGTTTTACCGGCAATATACAGTTTGTGATTGCATTTTATATGTCCAGATATGTCCAGACGTGCAGTCTACCAATAACATTAGAGCTACAGCAGTAGGAACGCCCACAAGTGTCTTCACAGTACGGAGTCTAGCGACATACAGCGAAAAAGTCGCTGGCAGTGTGAATGGGGCTTTACGGGTTTGGAACAACATGAGGGTGAGTAATTAATGTGTGTTTCCTCTTTATAAAACCATCTCTTCTTTGGACACAGCAGGTATAGTCACATTTATCTAACGCATCTACTACTGAACACATTTCTTAACTATGAAATTTGCATGATGATAATGTGTGTAATATATCACAGCAAAACAAAACAACTTGGATTATTCTGTTCATAAATTGTCCCATAAAATGAATCTGCAAGTACTCACAATGGTTACACTTCTAGAAGGGCCCTTCGTGAAGGGATTCAGTTGTTCACTTTTTGTTTGGAATGGCCATATACAAATAGTGTCCCCTTCCAAAAGTGCCCTTCAAATGTGTAAAAGCAACATTTGGAATTCACCCTTTCTTTTAAATTGTACATTGCTGTAATTTCTTCTCAATTCCAGAGAGAGTACTACAGTTAGGGTTGCCAACTGTCCCGTTTTAGCCGGGACATCCCGTATTTTAGGCCAGATTGATTTGTCCCATACGTGACTTCCCTTGTCCCGTTTTTTGACTGCTACGCTGATCTAACCACTGATACAACAGCAGCAGTGCTGATCACTTGAGAATGATCACCGATACCTATCATCATCCAATCACAGCCCCCCTTACGCAGTATGCGTTAAGTAAATCAGAAATTGTGAACATAACTGTTCGAGGAAGGCTGCGCAATCCTCTGCCATCTTGTCGCTCCCGCCTCACAGCAAGCGGCGCTCTCGCTAACGCCAATTCCGTCCGTGTTTTCACTTCAGAAAATCAGTTTTGGTGAATACAAACTACTTAACGTGATTATTTTTCATGAATCCAACATCCCGCCGCGCAAGAGACGTGATCAGTAAGGGAAGTCGTCTTTCACTATTGTAATGTTGTTAAATGCTTAAATAATGCTTTAATAACATCTGTGATTTCAGTAGCAAAAATGCTTGTAGAGTTGGTAAATTACTTACAGAATGTGAATCAGTTCAAACTGTCAATTTCTGTAAACTGATTCAAAACTCTGTTATACAATTTGTCATCATAAATTGAACACAGAAGTCTATGCATGACGTTATTCATAAAAAAAAAATGTTTTAGAAATCATGAAACTTAAAATATGGAGAAATACCAGTTTGGGCAATTTGTATTGGTCTAATAATTAAATTCCTTAGGCTACTTGAATAATGCAAATGTTAATATTATTATATAGTTTGTATCTGAGTAGTTTTGAGCTGTGCTTCATGGCCTCTCCCTGAGAGGAGCACATGCCTCTTCATCGCAGGACACCGTTCTTTCTCAGATAAATAAACAGGGCCTTTCAGTTTGTCTGTGGATAATTAGCTGCAGAGTTCAGATTCACACTCACTTCAAAGAGCAGCAGCTTCATTTTTCCCGCTATTGTGTTTCATTTAGATATATTTTTTTAACAAGGGCCACATGTTGCTCTGGCTTGCTGTCCAGGAGATCATTCTGAGAGCTAAGAACAGACTGCAGAATCTGTTTACTCATTATCTTACTGCATTGAAAGCCCTTTTTTATGTATGAAGGCAACACCGCTTGCTTTCATGAGCTTTTAAATATATTTCTGCCAGCCCACATTGCCTATTATTCTTACACATACTAGATAGATAGATAGACAGACAGACAGACAGACAGACAGACAGACAGAC